GGCCCCCCCACAGGCAGCTCCTGCCCTGGCCCTGGGGGCACAGGGCAGCCCCCTTGGGTGCAGTGACCCACTGGGTGGGGGCTCTCCACCCTTGCCCCCTTGCCAACCCCTCTGTGCCAGGGCCAGCTGGGTCCAGGGCAGGGCAGGACAGGTTGTGCATGGCACCCTGGGGTGGAGAGGGTCTGTCCCAGCTGGTGCTGACATGCCATGTCCCCTTGCAGGTAAGAACAATGGCGGGCCCTGAGGACGACCTGATCGGGATCCCGTTCCCAGAGCACAGCAGCGAGCTGCTCTGCAGCCTGAACGAGCAGCGGCAGCTAGGGGTGCTGTGCTATGTGACGCTGCGCAGCCACGGCCTGGAGTACCGCACACACCGTGCCGTGCTAGCTGCCTGCAGCCTCTACTTCAAGAAGCTGTTTGCGGGGCCAGGGCTGGGCCCGGGGTTGGGGCCAGGCCAGGACGTGTGCGAGCTGGACTTCGTGGGGCCTGAGGCTCTGGGTGCACTGCTGGAGTTTGCCTACACGGCCACGCTGACGTTGAGCCGGGCCACGCTGGGAGAGGTGCTGCGTGCCGCCCGGCTGCTGGAGATTCCCTGCGTCATCGCCGCCTGCGTGGAGATCCTACAGGGCAGTGGGCTGGAGGCGCCAGGACCAGATGCCAGCGACTGGGAGCGTGCCCGCCGCTACCTGGAGGCTTTCGTGGCCTTGCCCGATGGCGACGGGGATGCAGCTGAGCCCCTGCCCCCTCGGCCTGCCGCCCGGCGCAGCAAGAAGACACGCAAGTTCCTGCAGGCCCGGGGCTTGCGGCTCAACCACCGGGCCGAGGAGCCTGTGCTGGACACCGAGGGCTACGGCAGCTCCCCGCCTGCACCCCTGCCCCTGCCCGAGGGCCTGGCTGCCTATGAGCCTGGGGAGGAGGAGGATCTGCCGCCGGCCGCCTTCCCCTTCCCCTACCAGGCACCGCTGTCCCCAGAGGAGGCTGGCTCTGATGAGGAACCCATGGACCCCGAGCTCATGGCCTACCTGAGCTCGCTGCACCACGAGGCGCTGGCTCCTGGCCTAGACGGCCCTGACAAGCTGGTGCGCAAGCGCCGCTCGCAGATGCCGCAGGAGTGCCCCGTCTGCCACAAGGTCATCCACGGCGCAGGCAAGCTGCCCCGGCACATGCGCACCCACACCGGCGAGAAGCCCTTCGCCTGCGAGGTCTGCGGAGTCCGCTTCACTCGGTGAGTCCAGCCCAGGCACACACGATCGCCAAGCCCGAGGAAGTTCCTTTGGGGGTGGAGGGAGGCAGGGGCAGGGTTTGCAGCAGGGGCTTGACATGCACTCCACCCCGTGCCCTGCTCCTGTCCCCTGCTGGGTGTTGGTGCTGGTGGGGGGGTTCAGTGCCTGCCGGGGGGTGGGGGGTGCCAGCCCCCACTGACAGCCCCCTCTGCCCTCAGGAACGACAAGCTAAAGATCCACATGCGCAAGCACACGGGTGAGCGGCCGTACTCGTGCCCTCACTGCAGCGCCCGCTTCCTGCACAGCTACGACCTGAAGAACCACCTACACCTGCACACGGGTGCGCGGCCCTATGAGTGCTACCTGTGCCACAAGGCCTTTGCCAAGGACGACCACCTGCAGCGCCACCTCAAGGGGCAGAACTGCCTGGAGGTGCGGACGCGCCGGCGCCGCCGCGATGACCCGCCCCCGCCACCTGCTGGGCCCCAGGGCCTTGACCTCTCCAACGGGCGCCTTGAGGGGCTGCGCCTCTCGCTTGCCCGCCTCTGGGACCCTGGCCGGGCACCCCCGCCCCCCGACGACGAGGATGACGAGGAGGCCGAGGCTGAGGAGGGGCCGCAGCCGGACGGCGCCGTGCCCATGGAGATGGCATAAATGCACCGTGCCAGGGGCATTTGGGAGCCGCCACGGCACCAGGCTCCTCTCAGGCCTGGCCACACAGTGGGGCAGGGGCCTGGGCCTGGCTGCCGTAGCCCCCAACCAGGGCTTGGAGCTGGCAGGGTGAGGCCTGGCGCGCTGGACCGGACCGCACAGCTGCACGAAGCAATAAAGCCCCCAGGCACCTGGGGAGTGGGTGGCCTGCCCCTGCCCCGCTGGACGTGGGCGACCACAGGGGCAGGGTGCCAGGACTCCTGGGTTCCTGGGCAGGCGGTGGGAAGCCATTCCCCACCAACAGCCTGGCTTGACGACGCGAGTTTCTGTTCCTGTTTTTCCCGTCGCTGTTTGTTCTGAATTATGCAAAGGGGGAAACTCCCCCTGGCGGATTTGCACAATGAAAGGCTGGGGGGGGGCCGCACCCCGCCCAGGCCCCCCCGCGGCCCCGGGTGTTACGTGAGCTGCTGGGAGCCGGGGCGTGGCAGGGCGGGGGCAATGCCAGCCCCGGGCGGCCCCCAGGCGCAGGGATCCGGCTGTCCATCTATGTCCCCTCCCTATTGCGCTGGGGGGGCACAGCCCCGCCCCCTGGCAGGGCGCCGCAGCCCTGGGGCGGCACAGGCGCGCGCGCCAGCCCCACGCCCTGCCCGCCCCCCCCCACCAGCCTCGGCGCGGCCCCTGGTGGCTTCCCCTGCACGCACACGGGCCCCTGGGGCTGGACCCCTGAGTGGGGCAGGCCCAACTCCTTCCCTCCAATGGAGTAGCTCCGGGCTGGGGGCGCGGTGGGGGCTGCACTTATCTCCAGTGGGGGACCCTCTTGCCCCTCAAACTGTGTGCATGTCTGTCCTGCACAGGTGGGTTGGGGGGCAAAACAGCCCCAGTGCCCTGTGCACTTCCCTCCTGCCTGTCTGTCCATGTCTGTCTCACCCCATCATTGTAAATAGCTTGTGGCGCTGCCCGGGGTTGTGGGGTCATGCCCCCACCTGCCCCCTGCCCTGGGGGCTCATGGCCTCATGGGACCTGCAGCTGCCAAGCACCCCGTGCCTTAAGCGAGATGCCCCTTGCTGCCCTACCCCCCCCCCAAGAGCAAGCAGCCCCCGGCGAGCATGCTCGCCCTGCACTCCCGGCTGCTTTCTCCGGTTGCACTATTTGGGGAGTCTGCCCGGGGGGCATCCCCAGCTCCCGCTGGCCCCTTTGCACACGCGTCCTTAGGGGCAGGGGCAGCGGGATGGACGGATGTGGCCTGTTTAGCCTCAACTAAGAGTTTATCTATATTTAAAGAGATGATGTAATATATTCCCCCCCACCCACTCCCAGTTCCCTCTCTCTGGTCATCCCTGCCCCGGCTGCCGGCGCTTGCCCCGGGGGTGACCAGCGTGGGGCCCTTCCCAGCTTCAAAGTGCCTTATGGTGAACTTGAACTCTCTGCTACTTGAACTCCTCTGTTGTACAGATACCAAACCAGGGGCACTGGGTGGGGGGCACCGGCCCCTCCAGGCCCCCTGCTGCCCCCTTACGCTTCTGGGTTGCTTTACCTGTTTGTTTGTTTTTTTTTAATGAAGGCTGCTTGACAATAAACGGAGAAGCAGGGACCCCGTGGCCCCTGGCTCTGTGTCCGTCTGTCGTCTGTCCCTCTCCCCGGCTGGGCCCTGTCCCCACAAGCTCATACCCTGAGGGAATCAGCAGCCCGTGGAGGATGCAGGGAGCAGTGGGACACGCAAGCATTGGACCCTTGTGCAACCCCTCATGGGACACAGGTTCACTGTGTAGCACTGCCAGGCCCCAGGGCTGTTTTATTGCCTCATCCGGGCCCCACTTCATCTGCAGACCATGGGACTGGTGCTCAGGCTGGTGCCTGGAGTCTGGGCGTTTGGTCTTTGGCCCTTGACTGTGGTGCTGAGCTGGGCCCAGGGATCCCTCAGGGGTCAGGTCCTGGTGCGGCCTCCATCAACGTGTCTGGCATCTCTGGCACACCGTGCTTGAGGGTGCCTGGGCTGGGCACAGACCCCGCACTCCACTCACTGCCCTCGGACTGGTCCTGGTAACTGAAGTCCAGGCTGGGGGCAGGGTGGGGGTGGTGAGTGAGGGGTGGGGGCAGGAGGGGCTTCTCTACCCCTAGGGTCCCTCAAGCCCCTTTACTTCCTGGCTCAGGACCCAGCACAAGTTTCCTGCCCGCCCCCCGCCCAGGGCCCCAGTGCCTGCTGGGGCCAGGCTGCTGCCCCCTAGCCACGTGCCCTGATGCCAATTGCTACCCAGTCTTCAAATCTGCTCATCCAGTGCAGGGTGGGAGTTGGGACCTCCCACCCCACCAGCCCTGGCCAGGGCCTTGCCCGCACCTGGAGTCAGAACTGGAACCAGAGCTGCCCTCGTTCGCGGCCCCGGGGCTGGAGGATCCATCCTCGCTGCCCCCGCTCCTGTCCTCCTCCAGCTGCACCTGCGCCCACTGGGCCAGCTCCCGGGGCAGTCGCCGGCCAGCCCTGCGGCCCTGCACCCAGCACTCCCACCCCACCAGCCCTGGCCAGGGCCTTGCCCGCACCTGGAGTCAGAACTGGAACCAGAGCTGCCCTCGTTCGCGGCCCCGGGGCTGGAGGATCCATCCTCGCTGCCCCCGCTCCTGTCCTCCTCCAGCTGCACCTGCGCCCACTGGGCCAGCTCCCGGGGCAGTCGCCGGCCAGCCCTGCGGCCCTGCACCCAGCACCGGATCCGGCGTCGCAGCAGCTGCCGCAGCCGGTGTCTCTGCTCCTGCTGCTGCCCATGTAGTGTTCTCGCAGCCCCCAGCCACAGCCTCACGGCTTCCTCATCGCTGGAGTCGCTGTGGGCAAGGGCAGGGTTGCAGCTGGCCTCAAGCTCCATCCCCAGACTCCAAGGCCCATGGGCTGCCCAAGGGTCCTTGCCCCCAGGGTAACATCCCCCCCTGGCAGTGCCCTGTCCCGTTTCCCCCTCTGGTGGGTCCCAGCCCCAGGGTGGGGGGATCAGCTCACATCTCCTCATCACCATCACCCTGGTAGCCGAGGGGCGCCATGCAGATGGAGCAGATGTTGTTCAGCGCCTGGTGGCACTCCTGGCAGTAGACTCCTGGGGAGGGCAAGCATGAGGCAGGGGTTGGGGTGCCACCATGCCAGGCTGAGACTATGCACAGTCCCCTGGCTTCCCCGTCAGCTCCTACCTCTGCAGCTGGGCGTCATGCAGGCAACGAGGTCGGGCTGGGTGCTGGGCTGGGTGACGCACCCACAGCCTAGGCAGTACTGCTGGTGGATGCCAAGCATCCGCACCAGCCAGGCGCACGGCCGCAGTCTGTGGAACAGCGCAGGCTCAGTGGGAGGGTGCCCCAGGCCCTGCACCCCTGCCCTTGGCGGGGACCAGAAGCCCTTGGTTTCTGCAGGGCTGCTCCCAGTCACAGCCTCGTGCTGGGGGCACAGGGGTGCTGGAGGCTCCCTACCTGGAGGCGAGGATGAGGAGTGGGTGCATGTGGCCCCCATCAGCCGCGCGCTGCCGGACTGCCCTGCACAGGGCCCGCGCCAGCCCCTCACGCCGTGTCAGGATGTTGTTGTAGAGGAAGCAGGTTCGTTCCTGAGGCATAGGGAGGAGGTCAGCAAGGGACAGGGGGTCCAATGCTGGGGGGAGGATTCCCAGCCTGGGGGCAGGGGTTGCACCTGTTCACGGGAGGGGTAGTACCAGGCACACAGGGCCCTGCGCACACGTCCGACGTAGCTGCCGAAGACAGCAGTGAAGCAGCACACGCCATACAGAAGCCCTGTGGGCATGGGGGTCACACGGGACAGTGGGCACAGCAGGAGCCACCCCCACTCACTCTGGGGCAGGGACCCTGCTTTGCATGCTCCCGCCCCTGCCCCAGCAGTCACCGATGAAGCGGTAGGCCTGGTAGTTGGGCTCGGCAGGGCGCAGGCGGCACCGGCGGCTCAGAACGCTGATGTTACCACGCTGCAGGACATCGAAGGCTGAGACCAGGTTGCGGTAGATCTCACTGGCATAACCCGAGCCCTTCACCTCAATGCTGGCCAGCACCGGTGCTGTGAGGACAGGGTGGGTGGGTTGCAGTTGGTGCAGGGCGAAAGGGGCTGGGGGACAGGGGTCTGGCTGAGCTCAGGACACCCAGTCCCCCCAGCTCACCCCTGGCGACGACCTCGCCCTGCAGCTGGTGCTGCACCAGGTCAAGCAGCCAGAACATGCCATAGTCTAGCAGGATAAGGCTGAGGCCCAGGAGCACATGGCGCAGGACGCGGACCAGCGCCAGCCCGTACCCACGGCGCTCCCAGCGAGACAGGATCAGAGAGCCTGTTCCAGGGAGGGCCACAGTGAGGGTGGGAGACAGACATGGCCAGTGCCCCCTGCGTTCACCACTGACCCCGGCCTCACCAGGACGGATGTATTTGGTGCTTTCCCATGCTGTCAGGGGCAGGACGGTGGGGCGGCCCTGCCGTGCCCGCAGCATGTCCATGGCCACAAAGTGCTGTGTGATGTAGATGTTGTCGAAGGTGTCGTTGCGCAGGTACCGGCGCCGGTACCACAGGGCCCTGGAGGCAGTGGGGGCATGCAGCCTAAGCAGGGGGCACGGGGGTTTGGAGGGACTGGGGAATGAGCGTGGACACCTGGGTCCTCTCCCAGCTCCAGAAGGGCAGTGAGGTCTGAAAGGTTGGAGCAGGGAGGTGGGAGCCAGATGCCTGGTTTCTCCCCTGGCTGGATGTCCAGGAACCAGGCAGACACCACTCACTGCAGGTAGAGGTAGAGGCCGACACAGACGGAGGCATGGGCAAAGAAGCCGAGCAGCTCACGGGCCGGCTGCAGCCGCTGGCTCACAGCCTCCATGAGGTCCCGCGCCACCTCGGCTAGGCTGCGTGTGGCATTGAGGCTCACATCAAACTGGTGCACGGCTGAGATGTTGAACT